TTTTGTGATAATTAGGACATTATCACATAATTTTGACTTTTTTTCTCATAATCATGACTTTGCCTTTCAAAATATTGACTTTTATCTCATAATTGACTTGTCATAATTATGACATTATCTCATATTTAGACTTTTATCTCATAATTATGACTTTTTATGTCATAATTATGACTTTTTTTGTCATGATTATGATGTTATCTCATAATTTAGACTTTTTAATCTCTTAACTTTTTATCTCTTAATTATGACTTTTTATCTCATAATTATGACTTTGTATTTCAAAATTCAGACTTTTTATCTCATATTTTTGACTTTTTATCTCATAATTGATTTTTTGTAATGATTATGATGTTATTTCATAATTTTGACTTTTTAATCTCTTAATTATGACTTTATATATCATAATTTTCTCTTTTCTTGCCATAATTGTGTCATAATTGTAAAAGTTGTTTTCTTTATGTGTCAGGAATGGGCTCCACTGGTGACGGTCAGACTCACGTCAGCGCTCCAGTGCGTGTCACATTAAGTGATGTATCGGTACTTTTACTCCGCTATTTTCCTCCGTTTGTGGTCGTTACATGCTTATTTTAATTTTATTTTTATCCATCAACGTGATTGGATAGAGAGTAATAGGTCTCGTGACTTTCGTCAAATCAAATTGTGCATAGAAAACTTTAACCGCCAACTGTTTATCATGGCTGCTGGAAGCGCATTATTCAAGCATCAATTCTGTTGCATCTTCCTCTAACTTAATATGTTCAGGTAAATTTCGGATTTCTGCTTACTAAATGATTTGTATATAGGCTATGCTTGCCTATCTACACGGCCTGAAATTTGGTGTGAGGTTGCGGGTATTGTGTTAACTTCTGTAAGTGCCACGTTCGGTAAATTCCCACTCACTTATGAGACGCGCGATCTGCGCTGCCTCTCTCACGTGCGTTCTGCAGCGGTCACTTGGATAAGTCGTTGTTGCTTGTTGAACTTGTTGACTTTTGATGAGTTTGAGCGCGCTGTGAAAAAGTGTGTTGGAAACACAAATTGAGGACCAAATCTGCACCTTATTGATGACCCGTGACCTTAATATAGGCTACTACATCTGTGCCAGCACGTGATGTAGGCTAATACAACTGCAGCTCGTTAATAAACGTTTTTGACAATCTGCCTTCATTTAGCAAGTGCACTCGAGCATAAACAATTTTCAAGTTCAACACTTTTTGTTCCGTTCAGTTGTGGATGCTGCTGATTCACAGAGACCGCCGCGGCTCAGCAAAGAGACATGCGTGTGTGTGTGTGTGTGTGTGTGTGTGTGTGTTTTCCTTTGAAAAAGTTTCCCCAGAAAAAACTCGCTATTTAATGCATTTTTCCTTACAAATTGTATTATCAGCATATCAATTCGAGTAAATGTGTAAAAGGTATGGCATGATGCCATCCTATTAGAACAATGTGCATTTATGTAAAAATTGTAACATAAATTATCAAGTTTAGTTATTCTTATTTCTTTATTGCAAAACGCTAAAACTGGCACCGTTTTGGAGAGAAATGGGCTCTCATTTGAACCCATATCATGGTGTGTGATGCTGAACTATGAGTTTCTAATGGTGTTTGTATTTGCACTGTTCTAAACATTAATATTTTATGTGCAACAACAGCATGTGCTGTCTCAGTGGCCTTACATATGATTTTAAATCTATTTGCTCAGACTTTATGATTTAAATGGGGATGATTGTATTGAGAATAACTTTCATCTTTTCTTCAACTGAATACTGTTTCCGTGCTGTTTTGATGTATTTTAAAGAGTTGGCAGTC